TTGAATTCAACCAAACTTTTGCATCTCTAGTAAGCATTACTAGAAGCATCCTTAGTAAAACCGCATCTCTATTAACATTTGGGACATTGAAGTAGTTAGTAATGTCCAAGAATTCATCGATGTGCTTGAAGGCATCTTCATGGTCCTTCCCAACGAACGGGATGTCTTTCAACATAACTAAAATATTCCCCTTAAGTTTGAAATTTGCGGCTGCTGGAATTTCGAGTGGTACAAGACCCGGTCCGTTGTCGTTACGCAACCTTTTCTTATATTCCTTCATCGTCATATATGCTATGTCCACCATCTCTTTGACCTTTCTTTTTATCTCGTCTCCTGAACTTTCTTCGGTAGATGTTTCTGGCTTGTATCCTACTTCCTTCTTGCTTGGGGTCTTTTCAAAAAGCTCGAATTTGTCGGATTGGAAAGTGCTACTTGATTCGTCGACCTTCTTGCCTTTCTTCTTGTGGAAAGCTGATTCTGGATTTTTGGGTGGTGGAAGAATTGGAGTCTTGGATCCTCGGGTCATAAATCATTGTAACAAAAATTTAAAAACAAACTAAAAATGAATAACGAGTCTGTTTTCACAGTGACCACGACGTGGCCAAAATTGCCCACGACGTAGCTGATGACCAGGCTCAAATATCTAATAAGTAAGAAAAATAACTTTTTATGGTTTTTACCCCACAAAAATGATTTTTAACTAAAGGACGTCGTTCCCCAGCAACGACACCCAAAATTTGACTTGTAAAACTATATCTATCAAATTTTAAATTTATAAACCTAACTACTTAACTACTTATGCACATATAGGCAGTGTACCTAGTCAAATTATAGAATAGCTTCGGTAATTCGGGTGGCAAACACAGGGAACATAATTTAATTTATAAAATAACTACTTTTAATTAAACTAAGAGAACAAACTTAAATTGAGGGTTTTTACTGATTTTGCAAGATCAGAAGACCATAAATCAAACTACTATTAACTAAATTACTATTAAAACTAACAAGACAAGAGAACAACCTTTTAATTCAATATTTAAAGAGTACTTTAGTTTAGTTCTGATTCCCCATTCTCCTATGGTTGATTTCTAGTTGATGGATTATAATAAGTGCCAATTCTTTACATTACTAGTTATTACAATCAAATACCTAGATGTACCAATTTATGAATTACCATTCAATGATCAAGCACAAGTTAAACACAAAATCGATATAACCACGAATTGGACTATGAATAATAAATCTAAGAGTTACTTTCCTATAATCAAGTCAAGCAACCAAGCACAAATTATGATTAATTATGCTCTCTAACACAGTTAAAGTTATTAACTGTCAATTACTTAACCCTAGGATATGATTAATCACTAGTTCTAATTATTTAATGATAATAAACAATTAGGTAACAGATTCATGAAATTAGAATGATCCTCTATCATATAGAACTTGATTAATAAGCAATAAAAAAAATAAAACTTCAACATGTTAGGGTTTTGATTATCAAACACAAGTAAAATCATTAAATATCCATAAATCGAATTCAACACATATGATCCGGGTTCATCTTCACTAAACAGAAGTATGGGGTGAGTAGCCCATAACTAAAATAGAAACAATAAATAAATCGAAGTTAACTAGAAAAGACATGGTTAAATCTAGCAAACCGAAAGATTTAATGATGATCTTTCTTCAATTATCTTCAAAGCTTGAGTGCAAAATGAATTCTTCACTTCTGGAGGTTTTCTAAGGGTTTCCAGTCGTAAACCTTAGCTTAATCCTCAAGCCAAATTCTAGAATTAGACCTAATTTCCGGATATATATATAGTTCCTAAAATCTGGTTGCCATGGCGTGGGGATAAGAGCCACGCTGTGGGCATCATTTAAATCCCGTACACGACAAGTTATCAGAAGCTTCTAGGTCAGGACAAGAGGCCACGTCGTGGCCTTTATATTGCCATGTTGTGGCATGCAAATCTGCACGAATTCTCTTCTTTTTCCATGCTGCTGCTATCTTTAACCTCCAAGTTTCCAACTTTTTTCATTTTTGGTTCTTTTCCCTCAAAAATGTCTTTTTTGGATGCAAAATGTAACTTAACTCAATAAGTACCAAATATCTTTGCATTTTACCAAGTTATAGCTTAAACGTATTAAAATAATGCCTAAAATATACATATAAATATGGCAATATCACTTAGCTTGACCTACGTGACCATAATATGCCACCTCACATGTCCTACATGTTGTAGTTGGCTTATATGTGGCTCTCAATCAAACCTATTTTGTTAACATGGTTACCCTAAATTAGGTCGCCTTCCTTCCTTGAAATCCTTTCTTGCGATAGATAAAACCTAAGGATGTCTTCCTCATCTGCTCGTAGTCGAAACTTCATCCCCTGTAGTTGTCTTTGAAATGATGATGAAAAAGAATGTCCTCCTTGTCATTTTCTTAACGATCTCAACATTGAATGCACATCTTAGGGTTACGATAACCCAAATTAGAGGTTTTGGAACTGCAAAAATTCACTAGTGAGGTTCATTCATTCTAACAACATCCTTGATTGTTTCTTTATTTCAAATTTTCATACATTTTGTCATTCGTAACCCAAAATCTAAAGAACATGTTATCAGTCAACTGTAGGGCCAAAGCGTAGTTTTTTCAAGTGGAAAGATGATGTCATGGAGGGGGGACATTACAAAGAACATGTTCGTAAGATGAGGTACGAGATTGTCAAGAAAGAAGACTATAGTGAGGTGATAAAAGCTGAGAACGTGTAGTTCGTTGCATAATTTTGAACAACACTTAATTAACCAATAACCTTTTCCTATCATTTTTTTTTCAATGCAAAGTTGGTACCATTAACAACAACATAGTTGCATAACATAGATTTTAATTGAGTTGGATCTTGGAACCTCATACCAGGTATGGGCTTTTGCTTTTTCCAAGGCGTTGAGTAATTAAAAATTAAATGGCCTTGAGTTATAGGTATAACTTCACCCCTATTATCATCATCTCTTTTGTTATAATTTGCCTCCTCCACTTCACCATATAATTGACTAAAAAACTCATCACCCTTTGTTCTGTTCATACTCATTATATCCTCATTAAATTTGTAACCCCACATCTCTAACGTTATCAATTTCTTTTTCATATTCCCCATTATTAATACATGAATCCCCACTATCTTCTTCTATCTTAGAACCATACCAATCCTCTATTCCTACACCAGCATAGTCTACATAGGGGGAAATTATACCATCAGTTCCATAAGCATAAAAATAATACTAACATAGTCTCCATCATTTGCATTAGGAGTAATCCTAGATAAAAGGGGTTTATCTGGCTCACATTAGAATAACTTATTTATACTATTTTGCATGAAACATTCGAGAAAGGTGATACAATCAAAGTCTGTCATTTTAGCAAAATCATGATTAGTGAATGTGAATTTGATACCATGATTATATGAGAAAGTATTTCAGAGAAAAACACCTTGGAAGTTAGCTCCATTTAACATTGTTGGATGCTTGGCTGCTTCTTGAGTTCGATTGGAGAAACAAGATTACACACTAGATTTTTTTGTTTCGTTCTTAGTCATTGAGAGGAGAACAAAGATGATAGTAACTTCTTTATTTTTAATTAATGTGAGGTGGATTACTTATGTGACTTTCAAAAACCTTTTTTTCTAATTTATTTAAATGTCACATCAGGAATGGAACTAGTTGTTCCCATTGTCCGATGCATAATGGTGTAATTGACATATAATTTCTTACTTTAAAGACAAATTTTGCAAAAAAAAAAAAGGAACTTTAATCACTAAATCGGTTAAATGACCAAACTTTATTTTGATACAATAACATTCTTTCCTTATAAATTCTTAAGCATGTTCCATGCTTCCATGGTAATGGAGGTGAATTTATGTGACGTAACCCTAAGGATAATGAATCATATATAATTTTAGCTATTCAATTATTTTTTAGAGCAGTGGGTATGGGTTGCCTCCACGACGTTATTGTCTACGTGGAGGGCCCATAACGCCGTTATATCGCAAAGCACACCGCCCCCCGTGCTCGTTATGGGGCTTCTCGTGGTAACGACGACCTAGAGCAACGACGTCTTCTTATTCTTTCTTCCTCTGTTTCTTCTTTTTTTTCATCACCTTAACGGCGGTATAACATGGAACACCATCCCCTAATCTCGTGTAGAAAGAAGATGGTGATGTGGCTACATTATGGTGAGTATGGGTGTTGCTCATACCTAATGCTCTTAGTGGGTGACATTTAAAATTAAAGTTGATTATTTTAATTATTGTTACATCTTTTAAAAAATGAATCCTTAAATTCAAATTGATGTCTTTTTTGTCTTTCATGGAGATACACAAAGCCACAATACAAAGAGTAAAGATCGACCGACAACCCATACCTCCTTAAATTCAATGAATCCTTAAATTCAAATTGATGTCCTTTTTGTACAGTGTTTTGATCTGAGCATTATAAAATTTATTTTAATTTGTTTGATTCAAAATTGCATTTCCCTTTTTAAAAGTGCGATTGTTGGCGCATGAGAATTTGGTACATCTGTTATATTTTATGTTGACGGGTTAAACAAATTTATATAAAATTACTGTTATTCAATTTTGAGAAAAATAAGTGTCATTTTGTGTATCCAAATTATGAAGAAAACAGTTAACACTTCTTAAATATTTGTTTTTTTTGTTGTTGTTTTTTTTTTTTTTTTTCAGAATATATTATAACCAAAATTCCATACGATCATTTCAAACGATTCATTCCAAAAAGAGAAAGACGCTGGAAAATGCCTATAACGAGGAACCACTGCATGTAAAACCCGAATACGACCAACACTATGAATCCAGGGTGCACCCATTTCGCACCACCTCCCATTGACGTGTCCAACGCCCAATGCCACGTCACACGAGGCTGATCACTCTATTTAACTGCTTTATCAATTATCACAAAACACACTTCTAAGAAAAAACAATTACGAAAATGAGGGACAATTCTTTTTCACTTCGACTTGTAATCTTTGCATACTTTCTAGTACCTTTCATTCCCCACTTCCCGCATGCAATTGCAGCAACAGGTTTAACTGGTGGTGGTCACGGCGGTACTGTGCCGGTGAGTGACGGACCTACGGTGAGGAAAGAAGAGAGGCGGCCGTTAGAGTCGTCGGAGTTTGGTGAAGTCTCAGGCGTTAAGATTAGTGATGGTGAAAATGGTTGCTACCACCTCCATTTTATTACCATGGACGCTAACTCTCTATTCCTTCCTGTTCATCTTTATTCACAAATGGTTTTCTATGTTAATTCAGGTATTATATATATGCGTTCGTAAACTCAATTTCCAGACCACTTTATATATCTCAAATCCACAATTGTGTATGACTTTTTGAAGATTGATATACAAGTGTTTATAGACACGACTTTAAAATTTGAACTCTCCGACTCAAAAAAAAAAATCATAAAACAATATTGTAAGACTTTAAGGTTTAGTGAATAGTTAAAATTATTAGTTTCGCTGTTTAAAAAAAGAAATTAACCGTTTAATCTTTTAAGAAAAAGAATTACAATTTATTTAAAATTTCAGCCAAAAGTTAGAATGGCCTTTATTTAAAATAGAAAATTGAATAATTATATATGAAATTATCTTTAGTATAAGGTAAATTAATTAAAAGCTACAAACTTATAAAGAAAAATAACAGCAATTTTAATTACTTTTTAAGTTATAAACTTATTTACCTAAAATAAAATTTTAAGCTCGTAATTTTTAAACAATTTTTTTTAAAAGCTAAAAGTTCTAAAAATATTCTTCCTAAACACGAAATTTTTTAAAAAAAAATGTACAAATGAGATAATATATATACTTTTTAAAACAAACGACCCAGTTTACTACATAGTTGATATAATTTTTTATTTTTTATTTAATAATTTTAAACAACACTTGGTCAAAGCATAACTCGTAGTACTGATAATACAGAAATACATAAAACCGAAACTAAAATCTTACTAAAATAAATTTCTATATTTGGTAACATATATCTTTTTGAATTAATAAAGAGTACTTTGTTGATATGATCAGGCAGTGGAACTCTGAACTGGATGAATGTCGAGGAAGATGACGATAAGCTCCGAACAGTAAAGTTGCAGAAGGGAGACATCTACAGACTGAGTCCCCAAACTGTTTTTTACTTGCAAAACGACATACACTACCAAGACCCCCAGAAACTTGAAATTTATGCCATTTTTTCAGCTTCAGATTACCAACTACAAGTATGAACATCAACTTATATATATATATATATATATATATATATATATATATATATATATATATATATATATATATATATATATATATATATATATATATATATATACACTCTGAATCTCTTAAATTTATCTTTGTTTTATTAGTTTCGTAATCAGACATTAACTGATCATATTTACACATCATAATGCAGAACGGACAATTCGCCAAAGCTTACGCCAGTGTTCAAGATCTACTGCTAGGGTTTGATGACAAAGTCCTTCAGTCATCCCTAAGTGTAAACTCACTGACCACTCACTCACTCTGTTGTGTTTAAGAACAGCATTAAAACCATTAAACATCTTTAATTCAGGTGCCGGAGGAAGTGATAGAAGAGCTACGAGAAGGGAAGCAATCTTTGATTGTGCAAGGACAACCTGAAACGAATAGATCCATGTGGGAAGTTGGTTCTCGAGCTATCAGAGCCTTCATAGGAACCAAGAATGATGGATTATTCGAAGTTGAAAACGATAAGAAAGCATACAATATTCTTAAGGCGGATCATGATGTTGAAAATTGCTATGGATGGAGTACAACTGTGACCAGAAAACAATTGGATGTGTTGAAAGACACTGATTTCGGTGTTGTAATGGTGAATCTCACCAAGGTCAGTTGTTGGAAACTTGTTTCTTTAAGAATGTTGAAAGGTTTTTATAATCTAAATTATGTGTGTTATTGTTCCAAAAGGGAGTGATGATGGGACCTCATTGGAACCCAAATGGTGATGAGGTAGCTGTTGTGTTGCATGGACAAGGAATGATTACAGTGGTTTGTCCTACCATTGAGAATCAAAAAGTGTGCAAGAACTCAAAGTTTAGAGTTGCAGAAGGTGATGTGTTTGTGGTGCCAAGATATCATCCGATGGCTCAAATATCCTTCAATAACGACTCCTTTGTTTTCATTGTGTTCACGATTACATCAAAGAAAAATCATCCTCAATATCTAGCTGGAAAGTCGTCGATTCTCAGGAAGCTGGGTAAAAAAGTGTTGACGAAGTCTTTTAATGTCAGGAACACGACAATTGATCAACTTTTGTCTGCTCAAAGAGAATATGCCATCTATGAATGCACGTCGTGTGCTGAGGAAGAAGAAGCTGGTAGGGAAAGGGAGGGAGGAGGTGGAAGAGGTGGAGGAGGATGGAGGCATGATGAGAAAGAAAGAGAAGGAGAAGTAGCCAGACGGGAAGAGGAAGAGAGGCAAAGGAGGCAGAGAGAGGCGGAGGAGGCCGCTGGGAGGGGAAGAGTGGCTGAGGGGGAAGGTGGCAGCTACGGTCATGGAATTGAATGAAGGCGAATGTGAGGATGGGTAAAAAGTACGTAGGAAGAAATGTTTGTTTCTATGAACATCTAATGAACTTGTTTACTAATAAAAGAGGTCAAACTGTTTGGGCAACTAAATTGTGACCATAATATCGATGTCATTTGTCATTGGCTCAAATAAACATAGAAGGTTTTATGGTTTATAGTATAATAAACTATCTTTTATTATAACAAAACACTAGAATTGGAAAGCACCACGAAACACACCCACAGCTAAAGCCCTCTAGTGAGGATTAAGATCAGGATGAACGCATCAATGCCAAGACATTAAGACTTTAGGAAGTTAAGACCGATAGTATACAATTTAGAGGTGTCACAACCTGTAATAACATCGAATATCGGAGACCCACACAACAGTAACCACAGAGCACTTGAGGAGCATCATCAACGAACAAAGGAATATATTGGAATATGTGATTCCATCCAAAAAAAAAAAAAAGGCAACGGATTATAATTGAACCTTTGCATAACCAAGAGGCTAAGTATCCAACTATATCAACAACCCATAGTATGTACAACAAAATTTGAACTTGTTGCAAGACAAATTATTGAAACCGAATCCAAACAAATTTAACCTTACAACAATGAATTAGTTGCAGGAATTGTAGGAGTCAAACATCAAGCATATATCATAATCGAGAGACCAATTTATAGATTAATAAAGATTATAACTTTTATATATATATATATATATATATATATATATATATATATATATATATATAACCTTGTAAGAACCATTAAACACCGGTACAAGATAAAAGGTAATTAGCAGCGACAAAACTCATCGGTAAAGGGTAAAAAAGTCGTCGGTAAAGGTAATAGCAGCGACACACCGGTAACAAGTCGTCGCTACTGTTCTGTCGCTATTGATCAAAATGTCGCCGGTAAAGACAATTGTCGCCGGTAATACTTCTTGTCGCCGCTAATACTAATATTGCCGGTAATAGCGTCGCCGGTAATAACATATTTCATTTTTTTTTAATCAACGATTTTGGGTATAAAAAACGGATACATAACGACATTAAATACATAAAAAATTACATAACAATATCATATTAGATATCAAATACTGTTATAATTAATTTCATACCAAAATAAACAACCAAAGTTTTACAGTTCTAACAAGTAGCAAAGTGTGACGACAAGTATAACATACAAAACACAAATTAATTATCCGATGAACCATCATTTCCGTTCCCATTGTTTCCTCCTTGATTATTCCCTGATTGAAAAAACGCATAAAGTTCCTCCCTACATGTCGGGTCGTTGAGCATTGTCCGAAGATTTTCCAACTACATAATAAATAACAACATATATAAACTTATAAGTTAAATTATCAAATATAAACAAAAATTACCAAAGTACATTACTATTTCTTGCACTTAAATACAAGATATACCAAAAGTACATTGTTATTTCTTGCACTTGGGACAAACACCCAATTACCAAAGCTTTTAGCAAATAATCACCACAAACCAAAATTACCAAATCAACATGCATTTTATGATACCAAAGTACATTACTATCAGAGACAAAAAACCAAAGTACATTTCTATTTGTTGCACTTAAAATATAAACACTTGAAATTAAATAATTTTACTCTATTTGGGCTAAAGAACCTTAAATACAAGAAATACCAAAGTACACTGCTATTTCTTGCACTTAAAATATAAGAAATACCATAAGTGCATTGTTATATCTTGCACTTGGACAAAAGCTCAATTACCAAATCAACATGCATTTATTGATGCCAAAGTACATAACTATTTTTAAACTAAGACAAAAAAAACCAAAGTATATTGCTATTTATTGCACTTGGGACAAAAAACCAATTACCAAAGTTTTCAGAAAACAATCACCACAAACAAAAATTACCAAATCAACATGCATTTATTGAAATTAAATAATCTTTTTTTACCTGTGATGGTTGTGGGGGTGGTTACGATGGCTATGAAATCGGCGGGATAGCAGAAGGTTTCCGGCAGATGCCTCTAATATGGCCACGTCATTCTCCTAATACTTTCTCGAAAGCAGCTCTTTCTTGAGCGGGTGTTAACTCTCTTTCACCTTCTGGCCCTTGCGTTTGTTCTAAGAGCTCTTCCACTAACCGATTCTCTATTTCCCAAAAGTGATTAACAATTAATTATATGATAAAGTTATAATTAAATACTTACGTATTGTTGTTCCGCCTCGACACTAACAAATACACCATCCTTGTCGGTATGAGCCTTGCGAACGTTTCCACTCTCTTAAGGTTCTGTTTAACATTAAAAATTAGATTATATTTTAAATAAATAATTACATGTATCTTACGTTACCTTCTTATAGCAAGTACTTCTATACAAGCTCGATCGCCCACGATTAACGGTCGTTTGCATTTTACATACTTTTTTGTTCCTTTCTGAAGCAGCTTTGTGTTCGTCTGTTTGGAAATACTCAATTGTTTTCTTCCAATTATCAACATCCATATCATCTGGGAGTGGCTAATGCTCTCGGTATATCACTATATCCTCATACCCTCCGACTTCCAAAAAATATTCTTTTACATCAGCTTTACGCTCTCGATAACCTTTTAACAAAGCAACTTCAAAACTCTCTGACAACATAGCAACATCTGGATCCCGGTACATCCGATCCAAATCAAACTTTGTCTACAAAAAAAAAGTTAACCAAGTAAAAAATAGTCATAATTAACCATATAAAATATTTTTATGTAAATAATTTATTGTGACATCTCCATTTTCACGGCCAGAAAATACCGATTTTGTTTATGCTTTGTTTAAAAACCATATTAACATTTTAAATAAAAGTGTTGCGGAATTTGTTCCCAAAATAAAATATGATAAAGATTTATCAAAGGATTTTCGTAGAAATGTATTTCATTAAAAACCTCGGGATGTCATGTTCGATACAGATCAAAAGCATAAACAGTAAAATATAAGCATTACTACATTTATTCATATCTACAGGCCTGTATCTGTAATCTCTCATCCCAAACATCATATCTATGCTCATGCACCACTACCTGTAATACAAGAAACTGAGTGGGTCAGGCTTGGGAGCCTGGTGAGCACATAGGGTTTTCAACCCACAATAAATAAGTTTATTAATTTCATCAACCAACAATAACCCGATTACCCGTTCCTGTTATCCTCACTTTACGTCCCTAAACACCTATCATAAGGGACCTAGCCTAAGGATCATCATCGGGATGGACACTACTGCTAAGGGGGTTCCTCAGCAATAAATGTCCTAAAGGCAACCATGAGGGGGATGGAGTACACCGGTGAACACATCGTTCACAAACACCTACAGGTTGCGAGCCTGCTAGCGTTCCACTGGACTGTCTAGAAGACTCTATGGTTGTCATCCATACTTCGCTAGATGACAGAATAAAAAACAACAACATCGAGGCCTCTCATCATTTTATCACACATCGTCTATTACATCTACCCATGTTTTACCCCAACATTTTGTAGATATAAAATACATATACAGTTTAAATCATTTCAAACATGTATAAAAATCTTTCATCAGCATAGACAGCAAGTATTCAGACAATATGCACACATAGCACGTAATATATATTAAATACTTCATATCTATGTGTAAGATGAAAGTGACTATGCACTCACCGGTTAGGGTGGTGACTCGGTACTCGGACAGCGCTTCGTTATCTCAAAACAATTTTTCCCTTGACAAAACCTAGTATCAATACCACTAGGGTTTAGTATAACGTTAACCGTGACTAAATAATAGTCTAGCTATTATTACTATTATATAAGCGTTAAACAATACTTATATAACCCATAATAATAGCCCAATTACTTATTTTAAGGTCCTAATAATGTTACTATAATTAAATAAAAGTTGTATTAAAAATAGCGTAGGCGTAGCTCACTTACAGCGAGATTTATAGAAAACCGGGCTTCGCTTGGAGCAGCGTTTCCGAACCGAAAGACCCTTTTTCTCGGGACTCCGAGAGCCTCGGGGCTTCCTTCGGGTGCTAGGGGGTTTACCTAGACTTTACCGGGGGGGGGGGGGGGGTTAGGGGGATTAGAGAGAGAAACTAGTGAGAGAAAGAAAGAATGAGAAAGGTATGAAGAAAATGAGGGTGGGAGAGGTTCTATTTATAGGGTGAAATATGGCTGAACTTGGTGCCACATGTCACCATCTGGTGGCAAGACTTGGGGAGAAAGCAATGGCCAAGATTGTGCCACGTCACCCATTTTCGCACAGCATACTTCCGACTTCTAAAATCCATAACTTTCACATACGAGCTCCGTTTTTGACGTTCTTTATATCCACGCGTAGGTAAAAATAAGATCTACAACTTTCATTTTGACTCCGTCGGCTAACTCTTGACCGATCTTAAATTTAACAGTACGAGGAGATTATACTGTTAAATGTCCACGTAAAATTCATAACTTCTACATACGGACTCCGTTTTCGTCTGTCTTTTTACCGTTGAGTTCCTATTAATAAGATCTTCAATTCTCATTTAGGTCGTGTAGGCCAAAAACCGTTTGATCTAAAATTCGAGTTTCGGGTTGTGCACTGTTAAGTCAAATCTTAGAAAATTCATAACTTCCTTATACAAAGTCAGATTTGGGCGTTCTTTTTATGCACGCTCTCGGTTTAACGTATACTACAACTTTGGTTTAGATTACTAAGGCCAAAAAGTCCTCTATCATAAATTCACTATTTACGCTTTCCGATGTCGCACCGGTTCCGTCGTGAAACTTCGACGGGTCATAACTTCTTCGTTATAACTCGGATTTCGGCGTTCTTTATATCCCCGGAATCCTTGTTTCGACCACTACAACTTTATATAAAGATATCGGGTTTATCTCACACTTTAATTTTTGACGCTTATTTTTATTCTTTATTAATTATATCTTTATAATTAAGTATAAAACACATAATTCACATAATACTTAAATAATTCAACTTTATTACTTCAAA